GTACTAATTATTATCAACAGTGCCTTTTAAGCTGCTATCATCCGATTATTATTTCATCTGGGAATGCTTCTCACTCATACTACTCACTTGGTATTATGAATACATTATGCTATAGTCTCTCACGTAGTTTTCCTTCCTTCAAATGATTGATGAAAAACAGTGAGTTGGATGCTAATACTACCCTTTGATGCTTTTAAAGGATTAAATGGAAGGGACAAAAGAAATAGACTCCACCATTTTGCCTATACCATCTTTCTTTTCATTGTTTTAAAGATTATTTAGCCTCAAAACCTAAAAGTGGAAAATACTAAAGAAATAGAATACATATGTGAGCTATGCTGAAAATTAAAGTTGATAAAGTGTCTTTTTTTTCCTCATTAGGAGAAGCTCTATGTGGAATAAAATTTTTTAGGATACTTTTGAATGGATATATGATAAAAATGTGATGTTAGAAGCATAGTGTATAACTAACACAAATTTCATCACATCTTATGAATCTTAGAGTAAATTTTCTTTTACACTATACTTAACATCATTATCAACCAGTTTGCTGCTTTTAACTACTAATTCATATCACACGTATTTCTGTAGTATCATTATATATAAAGCACTCTGTTAGAAAGAAAGAATATTTACATGCTTAATAATAAAATTTACCATAAAAAGTTTCTCATTGTTTTAACCTGTAGCGCTATGGAATCTCAAGTAAAAAGAAATCATTTAGATGATAAGGACTTGTTTTGTGGCAAACGGGATACTTGAACATAGTATAGAAGATAGAAAGGATCAAAGAAAGAGCTTTCTAGATAGTCTTAAATATATATCCCATGAACAGACATATAGTACCACTGTGAGCAGTTTGTGTTATACAAAATGTTGCAAGTAGTTCCAGGCATCACACTACATCAGAGAAGGCCCAGAGCAATCAGACTACAAGGCTGTGTTTAAGGAAAAGGTCATCAAAAACTTTAAAAAGATTAGAGTAGTTTTAATCTACTTAACAAATATCTTTCAAGCCTCTATTATGTGTCAGACATTCTTACAAACTGTGCTGATACAATAACAGAGGAAGAAGACCTATCCCCCAAAATCTCTACACTTATTGTGTTTGGGAGAGACTTAATAACAAACAAAAGACATAAATAATACAGCATAAACAAAGTAGAGAATCAACTAATCATAAACAGGTTGGTAAGGGTGATACCTTATACCATATTTGAACAAGAAAGCAGACCATAAGGGTATCTGGAAGAGTTTAATTCCAGGCAAAAGAAATGCTAGCACAAAAGTATTGAGGATCAGCAAAGCAGACTGTGAGTGAGGGAGAGTAGAGAAGCAGGTAATGTCAGAAAGGAAAAGGTCACGTCGTATAGAGCCTCGTAGGCAAGTGTAGGGGCTCTGGATAAAGGTATGTTAACCTTACTAGGACTGTGCACAAGGGATTGCAAGAAGGAAAGTACTAGAAGTGGAGGCTATAGCTATAAAGCTATTTTCCAAGAAAAAAGAGTTCTGAAATAATTCATTCATATGATCCTTAGCTCATTTACGTTCACTTGGTAAATAATCAGGAGACACTGTGCTAGACATTGACATTAGAACTGTGACTGAGACAAACCTCAGTTGCATGAAGCTGATTATCATACAGGTGGAATGCTGATTGCATACATAGAAATATCCCACATGTTGATAAGCTACAGAAGTTGAGATTTCATTATGAATTCAAAAAATATCTATAATTATAGAGGAGAGGATTCCCCCAAATTAATTACATAAATAATCCTTTGTCTTCTTATTTCCTTAGTGATCACTTTTAATGAAATATTGCCCAATATTCTTATCACTTAATATTTCTTTTGAGAAAAATGATTGAAAAATATTACTCAATATATTCTTAGCAGTGAAGAAAAACTTGAGTATCTGGGGCTTATCACTCCACAAATCATAATAAGTCACAGAACACAGACTATCAATATAAGTAACTCAAATACAACCATTCATAAGTAGATTAATTTGTCAAGCATATAAGAGTGAAGACCAATCCAAAATGACTAAGTTTGTCTCTGGCCCAGACAATAGTATTTTCGAAACAAATTGCTGATGCATAAAGATATTATCTTTTGTGGCTGGATGACTAGCTTTAGAACCCCTATAATGATAAACCTGCTGTCTCAGAGGACAGATAGGGACCAGTCTTTGCTGTCAAACTGTCATAGAATCATTAAATATAGAGGGGAAAATGATCCAAACAGTATGTAATGAGCTTCCTTTTCATTCTCTTACTACAAAAGCACATCTGTGGGTTGTTAATGACTCTAAAATGGATGAATCAAATTGGTGAGAAAGAAACATATCTCTCAAGGATACGAAAAAGCAAAATGAACACATGCAATGTTTATAAAACACAATTTAAAATACAAAGGTTTATTAAAGTGCTGTGAAATACTACAAAATGACACACAAAGGTAAGTGATCATTGTTTCCTACTCCTTTAATTTATGCCTTTGATATAAATTAATAATCTTTTAAAATATACAGTATAGAAATACCAAGACATTTTCTCAAATAATCTTTGTTTGTGTCTTTTATGAGGTGACGATGCCATGCATACTTGCTAATTTCTATTCTCCCAGCTAAATTTTTATTATGCATACCCTGTGGGCCACAAGACTACAGAATATATATATCAGGCTTTGGTACTTCAGTTCATATATGCCATGACCTGCTCAGCCAGTGGAGTCCTGAGAAGGGGTGACAGGAGATTAGGAAAAATCTAGATGCATACTGAAAGGGAAGCTAGAACTGGTTGGGACCTGACCTCTCTGATGGAAAGGCAGTGACAGCCCAGCCTGGTCTCTGTCTTTATTTATATATATTAAAAAGAGGAGAAGCACTCAAAAGCACAAGGTCTCAGTGTTTTGCTAAGAACACTGAAAATGAAAGATTCTCAAAGCTATCTGTGCTGTCGTCAAAAGGTAGGAACACCAAGGCCAGACATTTGCTGGGCTGGCTTTGCTCTAGTCCCAATGATTTGTTTCCATGGCCGGCCTCTGGCACTATGTGTTTTGGGGCCAGCCTTATCTAGCCCCAGATGGATGATCTCCAGTGCAGCCGCCCCCACAGTACAGATTCTGAGCTGAGTCCTGTGGACTGACTTTCCACGTCTACAGTTTTCATTCCACAAAGACTCACTTGCCCCATGAGCCACATGAATATCACACCTGAGTTCAAAGATGTGACCAATCACAGGACTTTCTGAAATTCAAGCACTAGGTTATTGATTTTAGCACCGCAGTGGCAGGTATTGTGTAAGTCTTCCAGAACACTAAAATAGATGAAAGACATTCAAAGGAAGCAGAATGATGTATTCTGAGGATGGCAGATGGCAGCAAGAGCACAAAATAAATAAATAAATAAATAAATCACACTGCCAACCCGTACAATGGAACTGTCTTTTTATATATGAGTTACCTGAATTTAGAAATCTCAGAGTTGGAAAATTTGAGTTTGTGTCTTAATAATAAGAAAACATTGAATCATTGTGAACCTGGCTTATTACTTGGTTTAAGGTTAGACGCAAATTTGAAAACAGTCAATAATCTGCTCATTCTCAGGGTGTATAGAATAGCTGCAGCATAAAAACAACATAGTGTTAGAAAGAAGAAAGATCAACATTTATAAGCATGAGGCTATATAATCCTGGAAAGGAAAATAACCTTTAACATGCAGATTATGAACATGAGAGTTGGAGGGATAACTGCTGCAAACACACTGTCCACACAGGGTTTATTTGACATAACTATATATTCCAAGGAGTAGTGATAGGCCATTTAGTACATGATTTGATTCTTTCACTAGTTTGTTAAAAACACTAATAAACAAAGAAATATGAGAAGTTATCAAAGGATAAGTTAAGCAGTAAGTGGATGAAATATATTCATTAGAAATTTCCTACGAGCTGTATAGAATTTAGTATTATAATGTTTATAAAAAGAAATGATATTTTAATGTGTCATTCTTTACTAAATATACACAAATTTAAACATACTTTGCAAGTAACCTTTAGAACAGCACTATCTCTCCATTCACACACAGTCATGGAAAATTCAGCCTGAGACAGCCTATCTATATAGAATCTAAACAATATCTTATAAGATTTTTTAAAAATTATTCATTTTATGTTTTTTACTTGAAAATATTAGTTTTATTTTCACACAAAAATGTACTCACAGGTCAGACTAATATCATAAAAATCAGGTGAACAATAAATTGGTGTCTCAATTTAAGGGTCAATGCATGGATTAATGGTACAATGACACCCCTGCTTCCATCCCAAGGCCCTTGAAGATTATGTGATTAAAATAGCTGCACTTTTAATCAGTTTCTTTCTTAGTATTTTTAGTCTATACCACCCAGCCTAGTTGGCTAAATGACTAAGCAACAAGGTCAATGAGATGCAATGCTTCTTTCTACTCTAGTATAATGGCAGTTTTGACCATTCTGCATGCACAGAACAAATGCATTCTCACAGTGACAACCACATTCCATTGACTTTTCCTGAGAGCAAAGTGTGACAGATGCCTTGGCTGTAATTGCCAATCAGCCCTTACATGGCAGCTGAAAATACAATACATCACTTTGATCTCCTTTGCTCTAAACACATTCACAATCAAGAAACCTGAACAAGGAATAAGAATTGGCATCATTTCCAGAAGCTGTCACTTGCAACACTTAAATACTATAACGTATATTTTGCTCATTTTTATTTCCATGCTTCAGAGACACTCTGTTAGAGACCTGAACAAAAAAAAATCAACTGCAGTTTCACACACACACATACACACACAGAGAGACACACACAGACACACACATACACACAAATATAAACACTTGTAATTAACCATCACCACCACCACTTCACTTTCTGATTTTGCACTCAAGGAATCAACCAGGTAATAGTTTTCATATGAGTTTATAACAGTGCTCCAGAAAGCTGTGCTCACGTTTTGCAGGCAGGTCGTAGCCACAGGTGATTTTTGCATGTCCAGTCTCACAGCCATTCAGGTTGCGGCATTCCGCCAGCAAGCAGGGGCCAGCTGCCCTGTGAATGCAGCCGTCCACTAGGAGAGAGAGAGACATGTTAGTCTAAACTTGACAACTTGAAATCAAATGTAAAACTCAAGATGGGAAGAGAAAAGGAACTTAGTTCTCCCTGAAAATCCATAGCTCCATGGAAGAGAACTCATGGTACAAATCGTGTGTGTGTGTGTGTGTGTGTGTGATGTATGTGATTTGTGTGGGAAGCAGGAGTAGAAGAGTAATACAAGTGATTGTTGGCAAATGTTAAACAAATTCTCTTTGGTTGAAGGAGTTTCAGATATGCTGCATTTTCCATTTTCACTGATGTAAACATTCCCCATACACCCAATTTCATATTATATACTCAGTGTCACTAAATATAGACTGGAAAGAAATGCTAAAGCCAGTAAATGTTAACATATCACATGTTTTACAAGAAAAGAGGTCAATAGGAAAGAAAGACACTCTGAAACATTTGTGCTCACCTCAGAAGTGAGTGGGCAAAATTAAAGCTAGCCCAATAAATACCAAATCTCTCCATAATTTCTCCCCACAGAAGCACAACAGAAACAAGATCATGTTTTTGCAGGATATCTGGTCGAGTGCTAGACAACACATAAAGGTAAATTAGGTCTTCACAAACATCCCGTAGACCACTCCCTCTCCCTTGGCACAGATTGAAATAGAACCACTACAGCTCATCTTACGCTGCCAAATTAGTAGATTCTGGCCCTCGAATGCCATCAGGTGCCTTCAGTTCTCTGCCGAGCTTATCTGGCCTTTGCTTTTGTAATATAAAGTTTGCAAATCAAAATGAATGTACTCCCAACTTCTGCAGTGTTTTATAGAACCTAGATTGAAATCCTGTGAGACCTGGGCTCCCTTCACATTGAGCTTTTAGTACAAACCACCTTCAAAGCCACAAATGTAAAGTCAGCAAAAATTGGAACTGTCTGTGACTGAATTGGGGATGAGTGTGCAACTTTCGGGCTCAAAGACCACATGCACATGAAGTAGGAAACTGAGGATTTGGGTGTTTAGGTATCACTGAACAGGCCTCAAAAACAAAAAAGAAACGAAAGATTGCAAACCAGGGGAATGAGAAAGAATCTGAAAATTTCTGGAATTTGGAATCTGAAAACACGACAGATTTTAGAGTTTTGAATATTTCCTCCTCCTTCCCTAGTCCATAACACCATGCAACCCATCATTGCCTTTCATTGTTGTTGTTGTTATTATTATTATTATTATTATTATCATTATTATTTACAGTGAAAGTTCAATGTTGAACAAGTCATTGGCCTTGAGGGAAATATAACTTCTCTGATTTCTAAGTTGGTTTCTGTTGCCATTGAGTGGCTTAGAGATGTCACTTTTGCCCAAGCAAAGGCAGAGAACAAGCTTATCTGTATTTGCTGTATCATTTGCACATCTATAAAGTTTGCAAATCAAAATGAATATACTCCAAACTTCTCTAGTCTGCAGTGTTTCATAGAACCTAGGTTGAAATCCAGACTCGTTACTAGTCATGCAATGTTACAAATTTCAGTTTCCTTAAAACCACAGTCTAATGGTACTAGTACGCACAGTGGTACACAGAATTTGGATGCTATTGTGCATGGTGGGGCATTCAGCATATTGTCTAATCTAATGTTACGTGCTGCACTGATGACAGTTATTTTAAATATTATAAAAAAGTTTTGAAAGATTTTTTCCTTTTTTGAAAATAGGAATTATAGAGAAGTAAGTAGAATATGAAAACTACCATTCACTCTGCTATCCAGAGAACTCTTCTATACTCTGATGAGCATTCTCTCATTGTTTGTGCACACTTACATCCACAAGTTATTCTCATACAAGAATAGATGGATTTTTAAAATTCTTTCAATCAGCAATTTTATTTTTAAAATTATAGGATATGCTTTGAGACCATAATGCTTAGCGAAATAAATTACACACACACACACACACACACACACACACACACACACACACTTAAATATCACATAGTTTCTCTTGTATGAGAAATCCAAAGTATAAATATTTTAAAGAGCAAGAAAAAAAGACAGATGACAGGAATCATGGAGGTAGACCTCTTACAAATAAAGAGATACAGAGATGGAGGGAGAGGAGAGGAAACAGGAGGAAGTAGAAATAGAAAGGATTATGATGAGACATGTACATGTGCAAAAACCCAGGATGAAAGTATTTATTATGCATCCCAAACATGCATTAATAAGTTATTACATTAAATTATTAACATACATGCAAATGATATATTATAACAATGTCACTGTTGACTATAACAGTGGAAACTTGGAACTTCTCAAGTGTTCACCAACAGGGAACTAGTTAAGTAAATAAAAGCTTATATATAGCAGAGATTAATATGAGTTAGTTATTAAAAGGAATAGACCAACTGTGTAGGTAAACAGACTCTTAAACAAGAAAATATTTCTAAGTGAAAATGCCAGATTTAGAAGGACACATAGATTATTATCGCAATTTTGGCTATAGTCATGTACACATGCATATATACATGTATGTACGTATACATGTGCAAGAACTGGAAAAATATAGACTGTTGATTGTAGGATTATAGCATGAGAAAAAGAGGGTTGAGACTTGGGGACAATTTATGTCCTAATTTCTCTGAATTTTTTTAAAAACAACTTCAAGAAAAGCAGCTTTACGAATAGTTCTACGTAAAGTGATAATTACTTAATTTGAAATAGATAACTAAAATTCAGTTTGTCAGTGTACTTTATATACTGTCAAATATTGTCTGTATTATTTAGATTGACATCCAAGACAGTTTGCAGATATCTAATTATTAAACTCTTCATGGTTATACTGTTAATCCTAAGTATGTTAGGGCAATGAGTGTCTATCTGAAGAGATATTTAACAATAACGATCATAGGATAAATGGATTGAATGCAGCTCCCTGCCAGGTACTAAACTGAGGATACCCTTTTAGGGTGAACACTAAGTTTATCATCTTCATTTTACGAGTGTTTCAATGTTAGCAATCTTCTTACATTCACAAAAATTGGCAATGTGATGGAGAGTCCAGGTTTGTCTGATGCAGCAACCATGCTCTACCACTATTATTCACTCCCTTGGTCTCAAACCTGGGTTTTATGTGAGCTCCTAAGTTAACTTATTGAAACACTGTGCTACATTTTTAATATTAGTCATTGTATTTATGACTTTTTTGTTTTTGTTTTTGTTTTACCAGGGACTAAACTCAGGCCCTTGTACTTGCCAGGCCAAGTGCTTATTCTACTGGGCCATCTCCCTGGCCCCATATTTATGACTTTTAATGAACTTGTAATCAAAACTTTTACTTAGTACATGTTCTCAATGCCTACTAATTACATTCATCATGGAGAATTGGTACATATATGTTGCACAGATATGAAGTGTACAGTTTTGATGCATTTGAACAAATGTTTGCTCATGCTTCTGTGATGTCTGTAAAGATACTATATATCTTACCTCTAAAAGTTCTCAAGGTCAATTAAGACTCAGGACATATGAGAACTTGCACTGTAATGTCATATAACTCAGAAGTGTC